ATAGGGGAGGGGAAGATGAGAGAAAGAGAGAAAGTAACGAGAGAGGAAAAGTAGGGGAAAGAAGAGAGGAAATGTTTATTAGATATAGGGAAAAAGTAGATAGAGACAGATAAATAGATAGATAGGTAGGTAGGTAGAAAGTTAGAAAAAAAATAGATAAGAATAAATCGAAAGATAGATACCTAGAATAGAGAGAAGAGAGAGAGAGAGAGAGAGAGAGAGAGAGAGAGAGAGAGAGAGAGAGAGAGAGAGAGAGAGAGAGAGAGAGAGAGAGAGAGAGAAAGAAGAGAAGAGAGAGGAGAAGAGAGAGAGAGAGAGAGAGAGAGAGAGAGAGAGAGAGAGGAGAAGAGAGAGGAGAGAGAGAGAGAGAGAGAGAGAGAGAGAGAGAGAGAGAGAAGAGAGAGAGAGAGAGAGAGAGAGAGAGAGAGAGAGAGAGAGAGAGAGAAGAGAGAAGAAAGAAAGAGAGAGAGAAGAGAGAGAGAGAGAGAGAGAGAGAGAGAGAGAGAGAGAGAGAGAGAGAGAGAGAGAGAGAGAGAGAGAGAGATTGCGGGGAGTTGGATGTAATTATTTTGTGATAAGGGCGCTTTCGTCTTTAGCCACATTGGTGGGAATGTTATTAAGATTTTTATTAATCAGAAGGGAGAGAGGAAAAGATTGCGAGAGCGTGCGAGCGGGGGAGGAAGTGAGTGAGTGAGAAAGAGAGAGAGAGAGAGAGAGAGAGAGAGAGAGAGAGAGAGAGAGAGAGAGAGAGAGAGAGAGAGAGAGAGAGAGAGAGAGAGAGAGAGAGAGAGAGAGAGAGAGAGAGAGAGAGAGAGAGAGAGAGAGAGAGAGAGAGAGAGAAGAGAGAGAGAGAGAGAGAGAAGAGAGAGAGAAAAGAGAGAAACTATACGAGAAACAAACACACACACAAACGCAAACACAGAGATAGTGAGAGAGAGTGAGAGAAGGAGAGAGAAAAAAAGAAAGAAAGAAAGAAAAAAGTGCGCACCGTACGGAACTCCCCCCCCCCTTCCCCCGCCCCTAAATACCCATCGACTACGAATCCCGATGGACAATTCACATTCCTTCGCCCCCATTTCTGATCCTTGAAGGGGGGAGGGGGAGGGAGGAGGGGGGGATAGGTACTGTCGTAATTAGATTTCTCTCTCTCCCTTTCTTCCTTCCTCTTCTTCCCCTTTCTTCTTACTCCTCTTTGTGTCTCTCTCGCTTTCTTTCATCCGTTTCCCTTCATCTAATCTTGCCTCGGATTATTTCCTTCCTCTTCTTCTCTCCTTTTCTTCCGTTTCTCTTTTATTTATCTTCTTTTTCTCCCCATTTCTCCTTATTTATTGTTATTATTCATCACTTCACTTCCCTTACTATGATCTTTTATTGTTTTCTTCCTCGGCCTCTCCCCGTCTTTTCTCCTCTTTCAGTTCCTCAACTTTTCCTTCTCTCACTTATCTACTCCTTTTTCTCTTCTGTTGCTTCTTCTCTTTTCCTCCTCCTTCTCCTTCTTACTTTCTTCTCCCTCCTTCCCTTTCCCTCTTCTTTCTCTTCTTTCGTTTCTCTCTTCTTTCTTACTCCTCCTTTATCGGCCCTATCGTCTTTCTCCTACACTTCATCTTCTTTTCTTCTCCTCCTCCTCCTCTTGACTTCCCTTTCCGTTCCTTCTCTCTCCCTCTCCTCTTCCTCCTCCCTATATAATTTTCCTCTTCCTCCTCCTCCCTATCCCATTTTCTTCCAACTCTTCCCTCTTCCTGCTTCCGTCTTTCCTCTCCTCTTCCTTCTCCTTTCCCTCTTCTCTCCTTTTCCTCCTCTAACGCTCCTTACTTCCTCCTACTCCCCCTCTCCTTTGCTCTTCCTTTCCTCCTCCATCTTCCTCTCCCCTTCCTCCTATCCCCCCCCCTCCTCGCCCTACCTCGGTACTAAACTTGAATTAATCAGGTTTTCAAAGAGAGAGAAAAAGAAAGTTTTTTCTTCTACAATCACAGTGATGAAAGGAGAGATTCAGAAGGGAAAAGGAAAATAGAAGCGTAGAGAGGAATTACAAAAGATAATAATAAATTGATCAAATAGACTCTGATAGTAAGTATGGCGAAGAGTGCCTGGTCTGACGTTGGTGGTGTGTGCGATTCCGTTGTTGTCGTTTCGGTCTTGGTTCCTGTTTACTGCTCTATTTCTATTTCCTTCGTTTACATAATGGGGTATAACGAAATTCTCCCTTACGATACCTTAATTTATGTGTCATTTCCTTGTCTCCTTCCTTTCTTTTCCTTATCATCCTCTTTATCTACGTATCACCTTTCTTTCCTTTATTTAGATTTTTCTTCGGCCTTCTCTTGACCCGTATTGCCCTTCCAGGTCGACCTGAAACACATAGAGCAGGTCAAGGGCAGCAACATCGTCCCCATCGGCATCAACCTGAGGGAGTTCTACATGTCCGTGGAGTGGGACATCCTGGAAGTCCCAGCCAAGAGGAACCAGGAGTATTTCCCGGGCGCTCCCGAGCCCTACCCAG